AAATATTACAGCCCCACAACAGTACATGAACATGCTATTTGCTAACATTGCATGTGTTCATTTGGTGCATCAACTAAGTGGTGGTTCAGTCTTGAGTGTGGTTGCTCTGAGCCTAGTTAATGCAGTAGTCATAACTGTTTTTATAAACCTAGGGGCCGCCAAAGTATACAAAATCGATTTTAAAGAAGGGTGATAAAACCAACTTTCCGAAGAAAGGAGACACTGTTCACTGCTGGTATACAGGAAAGCTACAGGATGGAACAGTCTTCGATACCAATATTCAAACAAGTAAGGTCATATACATATATATATATATACGCACACACTGTGGCTTTTGTGGCAAATGCATGCAGAAGAAATTAGCTGTTAAGCAACCTTGGGCAGGTGTTTGTTTCTGGAAGGCAGAAAGGTGGGTGGTGGGAGTCCTGATGAGCTGCTTTTACCATCATCCTGTTGAGCTGAGTGGGGGTGTCCCTGCAGCCACTCCTGATTTTCCATGAGGCAATGCAGGGCAGTATTTTGGGACTGAGTGGTGTCAAGTGACACTGCTGCATCTCGCCAAACCTCACGCTTGGCATTCTCCAGGCCACAGATAATGTGAAATGCACATATATAATCAGAGGAAAGATAGTTTCTGCTTGGGGAACTTCCCTTACCTATGAAACTTGTGCACCAGCAGTGTAGTTACCTTCTCTAAACAGCCACATCATGGTGTACTCTTGAAATAAACCCTTAAACATGGAGGCACCATAACAAGAGTGATTTGAAATAGTACGGTGATTTGAAGTAATCTGTGGAGAAGTCTGCTGGTATTTTTGTAACAGTTTGTAGATCAGAGGATTAAGGGGTATGAAATGCTGCAGTACTAGAAGTGCTTTTCCAGCAGTGATATCCAACACTGAGTGGAACAGCAGGGCTGTCACTGGAACACTGAGTCATCGCACATGTTGTATGATGGTGTATGTTCCCTATAGAGTTATTTTTGCTTCATTAGTGTGTTTATGACTTGTATCATCAATTTCAGTAATCACAAATGAGTCTGCGGTTCGCTGGATCAGTATCCAAAAAATGCTCAACAACTTTAGCTCTTGGTGCAATGTCAATATTTAATAATGTTTCTAGTGCACAGCAGTAAATTTTCCCCTAAAAATCTGATAGGGGGCTAAAAATAGTATTATGAGATATTTGTATAAAGCATGATCGTAACAGTGATTTTAGACAGAAGTATAGTGTGTGCTGGTGTGATGTTAAAGCAAATGGATGTAAAACTGTCTTTCAGGTTCAAAGAAGAAAAAAGCAGCTAAACCTTTAAGTTTCAAAGTTGGCGTAGGAAAAGTAATCAGAGGTGTAAGTAAAACATTAATGACTCCCTCAGAATCCCAAAAGTTTTCATTCTGCAGATTTATGACCAGGCTGCATGTTTTGAGCTGCTGTCCTTGATTCTGGTGGAGATAAAAGGCAAGTTGAAAGCATTGATGTCCACAGGATGTAATATTTATTGTTTATGGGTGCTTTTATCCATCAGCAGTGTCACTCCTCTCACAGAGTGATGTGTGGGGAGCAGTGTAACAACTGCATGTTCTCAGGACAAGCATAGTCTCTTGCACATGCCTGCAGTGCTTTGCACAACAGAAAAGGTTACAGGTTCCTGGGGCTCCATTGATCATTGTATGCATTCAGAGTCATAGAATCACAGAATGGTTTGGGTTGAGAGAGACCTTAAAGACCATCTAGTTCCAACCCCACATCATGGGCAGGGACACCTTCCACTAGACCAGGTTGCGCCAAGCCCCTGTGTCCAACCTGGCCTTGAACACTGCCAGGGATGGGGCAGCCACAGCTTCTGTGGGCAACCTGTGCGAGTGCCTCACCACCCTCACAGGAAAGAACAACTTACTAATGTCTAATCTAAATCTCCCCTCTGTCAGTTAAAGCCATTCCTTTTTGTCCTATCCCTAAAAGCCCTTGTAAAAAGCTCCTCTCCAGCTTTCTTGTCAGCCTCTTTAGGCATTGGAAGCTGCTCCAAGGTCTCCCCAGAGCTTTTTCCAGGCTGAACAACCCCAGCTCTCTCAGCCTGTCTCATTCTGTGTGCTTTAGTCTGTAAGAACGTTGTTTCCTCTCAGCGTATTTGCCTCGGGGCCTTTTCACACGTGGTTCAGTTCATCCCTTACCTCTGAACTGGATACTGAAACTCCAAACTCTAGTTGCTGTCGTGCACTGAAATGAGTTGTAGTTTTGATGCTGTAACTCCTCTGCCATGGCCAGCATGAAGTAAGTGCCAAAGCAGTGCAGGTGAAAGCTGTGTGAGGAGGGGTATCTAGGTACACCAAAAGCACTCGATAGAAGAATTGAGTGTTCTGCTAATGGTTCTGCACACACATCTGTTAGCTTACAACTTGAAGCCACAGACACACTGATGTGAACTTAGTGTGTCCAGGAGGTTCTGGCTTATGTGCAAAGCAAATGAGGTGCTCAACTCTGGCAGCAGCTGCTGCTGTGTGGGGAAATCAGCGTCTGCACAGGGTAAGGACGCAGAAAGGATCTTATACTTACCTGACTTTACAAAATAAAAGCAAACCCAGCGTAGTCTTCCATGCTGCTGCTGGGAAGGGAAGAGGCCTTTATGGGTGGCAGGAGTGTCCTGGGAGGAGAAAACATCCCTGGGCTTGTGGCCAGCACTGCAGCAGCAGTTGCCTGGGTTTTTCTTCAGTCCTTTGGCATAGTGCTTCTGTGCCTGTGTGGGTGCCAGGTACCTTCTTTCAGCTGCTGTCAGACATGGGCAGCAACTGTTTGTTGTGAAATGCTGATACGGTGCCACTTGGAATACTGGCTTTGGGCAGCATGAGTGGGTCACAGAGAGGGACAAGCATGGAAAAGAAACCAGTCTTTATGCATCAGCCTTAAATAAACACTGATCTATTGATGGAGCAGAATGGCAGGGAGATGTGGGGCACAGAGAGACAAGCCCCATGGTACTGTGTGCATGGTGGTCTGCTGGGAAATGCATTCTGAAACTGGGAATACTTCTTTAGCAACAAGCATGTTACTTCCTTGGGTCACAAGCATCATTACAACATAAAGGCATGAATAAATGGAATGTGCAACTGCCCAACTGCACACACTGGGGCAGGCTAGCGGGGTTGTGAGAACAGTGTAGTGAGCTGTGAGCAAATTGGAAGAGCATATGGAATGTGGTTGGTCTGAGCTTGTTCTGTTTTTGTTTTTCAGTGGGATGAAGCTCTGTTAACAATGAGTAAAGGAGAGAAGGCTCAGCTGGAAATTGAACCTGAGTGGGCATATGGCAAGAAAGGCCAGCCTGATGCCAAGTATCCTTCCACAGCTGATTACCCATTGAGTAACTTGGGAATGCTTGGTGGAGCAAAGCACTTTACAGAGAGAGATAGGAGGGGCAGCATGCACTTGTTACTTGTAGCAGGCTTAGACTGTTAACAGCATAAAGAAACTCTGTGTGCTTAACAGCTGGGGGAGGAACAGGCCTGTAAGGAGCCCTCCAGGGGAGAAGGTGCTGCTCACTAGTGCTTGCACCCCAGCAATGGAGACAACACTCGGGCAGCTCAGGTAAGATGCCGCTGCTCCTCTTCTGAGGAACAGCAGTAAGGAGCAGCACAGCCTCATGAACTGGGACTGCGCATCCCACAACAGCTCACATCAGACAGCAGCTGTGATTCCACAAGGATTCCACAATGTTAGAACTTAGGAACTGGTGGCAAGTCATTCATCAGTGAGTGATGCCTACAGAGGGGGCGGGGTGTGAGGTTTTTAAGCTTCCTTAATGTGTGCAAACAGGATTCCACCAAATGCAAAACTTTTCTTTGAAGTGGAATTGGTGGATATCGAATGAAATGAAGCATTTCCTTTGCTGCTGGGAATCTGTTTACGATCAAGAAAGCTTCTGGCAGTGCTCTTGCAACTCCTGGAAACAGTTACAGCTGTGGCCTTGTACTTGAAATCATGTTGGTTGTCCCTGCCCCCAATGCTGTACAGTAACATACCACTAAAGAAAACATAGTTTGTACATGCACGTGCCTTCACTTTTTTGTGTGTATGTTCACCTTACAGCTTCCTTCTCTTACTTGGGAGGGGGGAATTGCACAGACCTCTAGCAACCTGTTACAGGACAAGCAGCCCCACCTCTTAAGGGCTACATGTGGTTTTATTACCCATCCTGGGGCTGAGCAGTCTTTTACAGAGGAGCATGTGCTTCAGCATCCTGCTCCAGCCTTCGGCCATATGCTTCCCCCTCAGCTTTATCTTCTGTGTAGCTGCTGGCACCTGGCCACCAATTTTAGTTAACGTAAATAAGAGGGAAATGTTTACATTTATATCCCAGGCATTCAAACAGCAGAGGGGTAGAACTGAGACTCCAGTGTTCTTACTCCTGGCTTGAATAAGGCAATCCAAGAAAGCTCAGAGGACTTACTGAATTCCTTGATTTTATTACAAAAATGGGAATGATCACTTTGATCAAAATGAAAAAAAGTTTGCTCACACTGTGTACATGAAAAACTCTAAATACAAAAATCATCCCAAACACAGTTTGTGCTTTTTAAAAAAGAATGCAACATCATTTTGCACTGCATTTTAATTATTGACCCCCACATGGAATAGAAAATACGTACCGCAGCTTGCAAAGGCTGCCAGTGTCATCGGAGTTTCAATCTTAACACCACAAAGAAAGCAGTCTGGGTTGGCTCATGGGCACAGAGAAGATGTCGTGATTGCTAGAAGCAGGTCGTGACGTGGCTGGAGAGCAGAGCAGGAGAGGAGCGCTGCGCGCCTGAGCTGCTGCATCCTGGGGCAGCTGGGGTGGCACAATGGCTTTGGGGGAAACCCAACCAAAGCAAAACCCCTACAGCTTTACTGGTTAAATCCACAATATCGTCCTGAGACTTAAAAAATTCTTCAGATACCTCCATAAATTAGTGCAGGGAATTAAAAAACCAAAACAAACTCATTTATGGTAAACTAGAGTTGTACAGAGATACCATTTATCCGCTACCAGCACACAGATCTTGCTTCACACATACCCTGGGAACACCAGCTCATTTCACATGCAGAAGACCAAAAAGCAGGTATTGCAACAGTTCTTTCACATCCCTAATTTAGAAAAATATAATTTCTTTGTATTCTGTCTTTGTTGAAACTGCAGCACAGTGACCTCCACTCACTCTTCGGATCAAGTCGCATGATAGTACTGTCCGTAATTCCATGCGTTCTGGTAATTGTACTGGGAAAAAAAAAAGAACAGGGTAGTGTAAGTCAGAGTGCCCATGCTCCATGGGGAATGCCCTGTGAGCAGCCAGCTGCCATTCCAGAAAGGAACGTATTGCAGGGGCCAGCGCAGTCACCATGTCACAGCCACCATAGCCAGGTCTCTGCACTGAGGTCCTGCACGCAGCTGGTGCCTCAGGCTGCCGTGGAAGGCAGAAGGAACACCCAGGGGTGCTCTCTGCAGCACAAGGCCCATCAACTCCAAGCACTCTGACCTGCTGCAAAGCATCTTTGCGAAACAAGTGGCTGCAGTCACAAGGCCAGGGCCAGACTTGTACCAAGGGCCAGCACGGAGGCTGTACTGCTGCCCCTCATGGTTTTAGTCACTTAAGAAAGACACAAGTGATAAGTCTTTCCAGTAAAGGAGAAGTCAGGGGCTCCCTCTTGTTCCTCAGATATCCTCCTTGGTACCTGCTCTGCAGCTCCCTGTCACTTCCCTTTCAACATAACCTCAAAAAAGGGAGGGAAAACGAGGGAGCAGGTGGTGAGGGAAGCAGGAACAGCCCGTGTTCTAGCTCCACATCCCCCATGACAGCACGCCCCCCAGGGTGGGAGCAGCTGAAATGCCCCAACATCACTCCCCCATGCTGAACCCTGCTGTCTGCAGCCAGCAGAGACTGTCACCAAGACAGTTCCCATGGCTACACTGCCACGAGCCGGGCCCAGGCACGCAGCCTTCTGGGGGCAGCATGACACACGCCTGCCTCTCTGCTATTCTCAAGTAGACTGTAAAATGCACAGCAGGCAGATGATGACGGAGTTACTGTCTCAACCACATGACACAGACCACCAGCACTGTCCGCCTGCCATTCCAACCACGGAGTTTGAAAACTTGGGGCATTTTTCCCGGCACAGTGCTGGGCAGGGTCTCCCCATGCTGAGGGGGTGAGTCACCTTTCACTGACTGACCTCGGAAAGAACACTTGACCTTGACACAGGCAATTCTAAACCACACTTACACAACGGCTGGGTCATGTCCCACCTGCAAATGCTGTTCTCACCGGCTTGGCAGGCTCCTTACAGCCTGAACAACAGTTCTCATTAAAATGCTTCAGGAAAAGCTTCAGCTGGACCCTCAGCGACTCATAACTCAGAAGAATTAAGCATTCCAAGCCTGCGTTGCTCTCATCCCAGCTGAAAGGGCATCAGCAGCACCCACCTTTACCTTGCACAGAAAGGCGAAGCTCTACAGCCTGCTTGTTGGACAAAACCAGACTATCAGTCTAGAAGGAAGCAGAGCACATGCTGGAGGTTGCTGTTGCCACAAGAGGAGGAAGCCAAGGTGTGGTATATTGGTAGGGAATTACCAATGTTCTCTTTAAGACCCTCCAGGGGACAAAATGAAATGTCATGCAAGAGCAGACCCATGGGCCAAGCTGTTGAATGGACTGATTCTGCATGGATGCTGTACTAGTGCATTGGAACCCATACTGAGATGTTACAGGAACTACTAGCTGGAGAAGGTAGCTACCAAAACACACAGTAAACTGCAATCCCAAAGTGAGTCTCCTGGGCAAAGCATTTCAGCACACAACCTGCCTATTGCCCTTGGCCAGCAACGTCACCAACAGCTGTAACACACCCCTTCACATGTAGAGCTGGCACCAAACTGCTCCTCCTGCTAGACCAGGAGACTGCTATACCTGTGTAACAGGCTAAAGGGGAATCAACAAAAACAGGAGCTAAATTTCTACTCCAAGCTTTTGATGCTGGGCCACAGAGTCACCAGGAAAAGCACAGTATGTGTGCATGCAGAACGTGCACACTCAGTGCAGCACCCAAAGCATGCACCCACCTGGTACCAGGCATTGTAGTTATATGCTGCCTGATTGACTTGCATGTCTCCATCCATCATCTGTGCTGATGCCAGTGCTGGGTCATCTGTGAGCATTTTCTTTTCATCTGGCTCCTCTGACCTGTGAAGTTAATACACACTTGTAAATGGCACCTTAGATTAAATGCTGAGCTTCTGGGTGAGAAATGTTGTAATACACAAAGTTCAGTCGTATTTTCAGATGTGGTGCCCTGTCCAAACAGGGTAGCAGAATTTGATTTAGAGAGTGAGACAGTAGTATATTGTGCTTCAGAACAATGGTCTGGGTTTTTAATTGTCCCGGTGCGCCAACTGAGACAGCAGAAGCGTGTTTCTGCTTAAAGATTGAGTTATTTTTTACCAGTACTGTTTAGCTTTCCTGAGAAAGAATTCAGAAAATTACTTTCCAATAAATCCATTTTCAAATATTGAAGCCAACAGTATAGCCCTATTTAGTGTATTTTAAGTGATTAAAAAAAATTAGTGGTTTTGTTCTTGCAAGCAGTAGCTTTAAAGCTGAAAAAATGTGTGTATATATATCATAGACTAAAGGAAAATATAGTCGCCAAGTTTGTTCTCTGAACAATTTTTCAAGCATTTCCAGGGTGCTCTGTACCAGGTACAGCTCAGTGTAGTCCATGTTCCAGCCACCCTGCACTACATCAGCTATCGAGCCAGCTTATACCTCAGGTGAGCAACTGCCTACCCGTTCTCTGCTCTCCTTTTCAAAGAATCCTGCTCCTTGAGAAGGGCCTGATGTTCATCATAGGCATCCAGAAGCCTGATAAGGCAAAAAGAAACAGAGCTTTGCTCACCATTTTCATGTCAACATTTAAACCATTTTAACACTGTCTACTGGGAACTGTAAAAATGCAGAACAATTCCAAACCAAACTGAACCATAACCAGTTCTTTATCAGTGATCCACCACGGAGATGGGAAAGCCAAAAAACTTAATTTGACTCCCTAGTGCACAGTGAAGAATTTTCTGTTAGCTCAGAAATCCCCAACTAGCTCGGCTTTTATCACACTTCATGTGGTTTTTATAAAGTTGCCCTTTATAATGAAGTTTTCTTAAACTTATTTGTGATGCAGCTGTTTCTTCCAGCACCTGCATTCCCTCAGCTGCGTGGTGATGCCATCCACAGCAGCACTGAGATTTAAAAATTGACATTTCTTTAAATACTGGAAATGAGAGCACTGCACAAAATTATTACAATTCCAAAGCAGCACCTATAGCCTTTCCCCAAACAACATGAGAAGAACACTTGTATTCTGTGCAGCACAAAAGAGTACTAAGCCAAAATTCCCACTAATAGCAAAACATCCTTTCACAAAATGGGAACTATAATTTCATCTGCTGCATAATAGTTTATAAAAGCTGCTGCTTCTGTTAATATTGGTCTTGGTGGAAACAGTTTCTTGTGTTTATTCTGTGCTCTAGTATTATTTGGGAACCGAAAACTTCATTTTGTTTAATCTATCCAGGATCCCAGATTGGCAGCGCTTGGCTGCCATGCCAGTTAGAATGGTCAGAGTCAGCAGGGATTAAGGACAGCTGTTGTAAAAGCATGCAAAGCAGAAAAACTGACTCGTGATTAGTCCTTCTGAGTTATTCAGCAGCAACATGTAAATAAAAACAAGAGCTTGTTTTGCAATAGAGATTTAAGAGGAAAAATGTGTATCTAGTATTTAATTTAAAATTTGCAGTTCTAGTACCTGATCCCCCACATAAGCACACAGCAGTAGTAATACTTTTGAACACAGAACAACCACATCAATGGGGTTTTGGAAACCTCAAGCAGCAGCTCAAAGGGTGTAAAGCATCAAATCACACCCTTGTCACAAAACATGTTCCCTTGGAAGAGCATCCTCCTCTAAGATTTAGCAAAACCACAGTAAGAAGTTACAGGCAGTATGATTTGCTCTATGATGCATTAGGTATTTCAGGGAAAAAAAAAAGGATAATTTTCTGAAAAGACATTCCAATTTAAAAACAGGAATATAGTTTTGAAAAGCAGCTATCCCTCAAGAAAGAGCTGACAGCACACAGAACAGCCTAATGGATGCCACTGAACCAACCGATCCCTACCCCTTCCACAAGTGCTCTCTGGGTGACCCTAATTTGGCTGTTGCACAGATCACATCTTACTTGTTTACATCAGAACCAAAATCTTCAAGGAATTCCACTTTTCGCTGAGAAAACGTAATCCTCATTTTTATAGACAAGGCGCCATTGACAGCTTTATCAAAGCAGCTCAGGATGTTTTCTTCGTTCTGCTTGAGATCACCACTGTACTCCATTTCAAGCAAGTTGAGGTACAGCTTTGTATTTTCCTGTGCAAAAAATGTATTACAAGTTGCAGAGCTGTCACACTTGGTATTTGACACTGTGTCTACATCTACCAGATGCAGAGCAGAATGTTTAAACCACAAATACACACTAGAATAGTCAACAACAACTTTTCTTTTTACATTGGTCATCTTTGACCTGGTTTGTTTTGCAAACAGAAGTGACACTTCAAAGGCATGTTTCATAAACAGTGTGACACTACGAAGACACGTCGCACTTTCCTAAGAGTAAGCTAATAGTATTCAGAGTGCCAAATGTTTCTGTGGTTACACAAAACAGTTTGCAAATCCTGCCTACACAATCTACTCAGTTCACCTTAAGATGTGAACATGCCTATAAATATTTGAGATTGTGAAAAGGAAAACCAAAGGTATGAAGCACATTATGCTTCTGATTAAGAAAACCTGCAAACTTCCAGGTCTGCAAGCTGCAAGTACGGCAACATCAGGTTAGAGGGACTGTTGTCTCCATGTAGTAAGGGAACACCACATACAGGTACAAACTCCTGTCATCATTGTTGCCATATCTTTAAAAAAAAGGTTCAGAAAGAGAGAAAAATACCAGGATTTTTTTTTTTTTTAAGACAGCAAAGAGGGAACACATACTTTGTCAATTTCTATGGCTTCTGACAGCACTTTTCTTGCCTTTGGAAGATTTTTCTGTACTTTGAAGAGGTGTCGAGCTAATTTGATGGCATAAAATGACGATTCACTAACTGATTTGGCATTTCTAACAGCTTCTTCAAGCAGGTGTTCAGCATCTTCCATGTTTCCATGTCTGCGTTCTAAGCTCACTCTTCGCAAGCGAATCATTGCTAGCCCTAGAATACACTCTTCAAAGGTTTTCAAGATTCTTCTTGCTTCATCGATGTTGCCTAAAACACCGGTGAAGATGCTTTAAGATATAAGACATCCACAGCCTCTTAAAAACAAAATCCCTCCCAGGAAAAACGACCACTGCTCTTACCCTGCTGTTCCTCAAAGGCAGCCCACAGCATGTGAACCATTGGTTTCTTAGGAAGATGTATTGTACAAGCCCTGCTGTAGACATGCCTCACGCCTTCAATACTATGATTCTCCATGTATTTGGCATACTATAGTTGAAAACAGAGCAGAGATTGGAAAATTTAAAGCTTATAACTGTCTTTAGAAACATGACAGAACGATAAAATTCTTTTGTTTAAACCCATTCAGCACCTTTATGGAACCACTAGACTAGTTTCTGTAAGGAAGGACGTAGAGAGGCAACGAAGTTGGCATATGCAGCAGTCAAATCTGGTTGCAAGCAGACCATCTCCTAATGCAACAGATATAGTTATATATGAACAACATTCCACAAGAGTACAAAAGGTTAGTCACTAGATCAATGTATGCCATTGGCAGGAGATGGGCGGTAAACCCCTTCCCTTACCTTAATCCAGAAGTCCTCATAGAGGGCACATGAAATAACACATCTTTCAAAGAGGACCACAACTCTCTCATGAGTGCCATTTTCTATCTCAAATTCTAAGTACTCTTTCCAGTTTTTCAGCTGAATTTTCTCCAGAGGTTTTACGTGAAAGTAAGGCCTCTTTATCTGCAAGAGTCACAGCATGGCAACTTGTGACTAATACGCACGTCACCAAGTTGTGTTAAAAATAAACAAACAGCCACACACCATTTAAACAAACAGGACCTCACTCTGATACATCATTATCTATTCACACAAGTCAGCTAAGGTTACCCGAGTACTGACCAAGATATTTTGCCAACAGTTACACCCTATGCTTGTAGCTTGGCTTTTCTAGAAAGCTTTTTGAGTGCTAGTGTGTATGGAAATGAGGAAAAACTCACCACAGTTCATCCCTTGCAAACCTGTGGTGACAACAACGGGTATTACCCACAAACACACAGCTGAAGTACTTACTGTTGTACTAGCGCATAGGCTACAAATTAAATGCAAAATTTGGTTGAGAATCATGACAAAGAGAAGACAGAGCACTGAACTGAACTTCACATTATGTACATGAAGCTGGTTATTCCAAGATGATGTTTATTCTGATGCCCAGAAGAGGAGCTGGGTGGGACAGAGTTAAGCACAGCAAATCTAAACACTGCTTTGAAGTAATCACAGCAAAGCACCTTTCCAGAGATCTTGTGCTTTTTCTCTTCTTCATCTTTAATTTTACCTGATTATTTCTGTCCTGTACTGTGATATCTCCAATACAAATACATGCGAATGGATAAAGAACTTAAAAGAATCAATTCTTCCAGGCCACCTGAAATTTGAAGCCAATAATCCCCACCACACTCCTCACTGAGCTCTCAAAGAGAACCCAATACTCTTTTTCCACTTTGGCAGATTCACAGGCACACTGTTCCCACTAAAGTAACAGTAAAACTGGTCTAAGCAGTCTCCATCACTTATATGATATCCTGTTGCTTATAGACCTCATTTGTGTCCATTATAAAGACTTCTTTATCTTTCAAACTCCTCACAGATCCAGCACACTGGTATCTACAGAGCAAATACACTCTCTTGATACACAAAGTATTGATTCTGGCCAGCAGAGAGGACACCCTCTTCATGGCACATTTTCTGCAACATGTCCATGGTTTTATCATTCTTCCACGTCAATCATCTGTAGGTACGGTTTGCCTTAGCCAAGAACACCTATACTCACGTAACCATTTTCCACAATACATCCACATACTCGCCTACTCTAGGGACACACACTCTGTTGCCTTCCGAGACAGGTACTGGTACAACAGCAACCCTGTGACATGCAGGGCCTTAATAGCCCTTCAGGTTGCTGTGAGACAGGAAGGGCAAACCACCACCACCCCAGGCACACTTTGTCCTCTTCTACAGCACTACTACAGACCACATACCATGCTCTCAATTTACATCAGACACTGTTAAGATCTGGCTGGACAGGGTGCTGGGACACCTTATCTAGCTCATGCTTTGCCTAGAAAGGCTGGACCTGATGATCACTGAGGTCCCTCCCATGACACCTGTGGCATTACAAGGCATCCGTACAATGCACTCTTTAAAATGAAAGAGAATTTAAAACAAGAATCATGTTATGCAACAAGGTATTTGCCAGGAAGAAAAAAAATAAGAAAGACTGAGAATTAAAAACTAAGGTTGATTTTGAAAAGTAACCAAACTTAATACTATACAGAAAAATTTCTGTATTTGCAGAGATCAAATATTTAGCTTAATTAATTACTGTTAATATGTTACACACAGGAGCTGCACGTTATGATGGCCAATTCTGGAAAACAAAACCTAATTGATTTCAGGTTTAAGACCACAATGTTAAAATATAAAACCACGCAAACTTCATTCTCCTTTTAGGACAGGCTTACCTTTTCAATGAGAATCATCTTCATGCCCTTAATCTGCACTACCCCAGATGCATAAGGCAGCACTCACTCAACACAGCTTTTCATCCATGTATAAAGGCCACTTACTAAACATCACACCATCTTGCCTCTCTCCAAATACCAGTTAAAGATTTTTAAGCCATCAGGTGACCAAGCTGACCTCACAAGTTGCCTTTTCACAAGAAAAATAGCAGAGAAGTGAAACTTGATCTTTGTTCAAAGCCCATACAGTTTAAATCATGTGATCTGTTACTCAAAATTCCTAGCTCGCAGACCTCTGTTGAGAGCTCTTGTGCACGCTGCCTTACATAGGAAAAACAAACTTACCGCTTCTTCAAACGTCCACCTCTTACTGACTTCATGTTCATTGTGGTTAAACATTTCTTGATGAATCTCAATGATCCTGTGCCTCATGTTTTCTATCTCAGTGATCAGCTAAAACATAATTTTTAAAAAGGTAACTCAGGTAGACACCATATCACCTTTGTAAATGCATTTCATGATGACATTAATATGCAGAAATTAAAAGTATCACAGATGCGTTAAACTCTACCCTGAAGAGCCAGAGGACAAGATGGGACGTTGCCCCCAGTGTAGCCCTGCTGAACAGGGTTTCTATCTGAAGTCTTGCTCCAATGCTAAAGATGATTGAGATCAGAGATTAACTTAAATCCCAGTCAAACTTGGTGTCAGTATGCGTATCTTTTCAGTCAGCAGTTCCTTTAAATAGCGAAGTTTTCACATGCCCAGGAAGGCTCTGACCTGCACAGAGCGTTGCTGACGAGGAGCTTTCTTAGACCACAGTTTCTAACCTCTTAATCTGGAACAATTAATTCCTTCCTGAAGGTTTGCATATCACTTCTTCCATTTTTAAACTCCATTTCTTTAATGCCTATGAAAACACTGGAAAGGTGCATCCTGTAGACAGTAGCAGCTATCACACAGGCCAAAGAGCAGTGATAAGCAGAAGAACTATGGGAACACCTCAGCTACAGATACGCTAAATTCTCTGCAAATAAACTTGTCTTTCAGGCACAGAGTAAGGCAAGAAACACCAATGAACATCCCCTGCACCCGTACCTTGGCAGGGTCAGTTATATCTTCAGCGCCAGAGGGCAGGTCATCATCAGGCTGCGCATCCTCCCCGCTATGGCCGTTCACAGATGCTAATTCTCTGCGCAGCTGAACAAACTGTTCAGTAGTCAGAAAGTCTCGAGGCAAGTTGTTCTGTATGTGTTCTTTAAACCTAAGAACAGTTAGAAACAAGTCAAGTTTCATGTTGCAACACTCTGCCTAACCAGAGCAAAGTAAGTCATCCCAGTAGGATTCTGCATTACTTTATCAATCTAGAGGCACACCAAGAACGCAACTTTTGACAACACATACGCACAAAATATGACTTCTACCACCTATCAGACTTCAAAATTCAAAGAGAAATGGAAGGATGATGAACTGCAGTGGCAAAGACAAACCACCTGCCATGTAAAATTGATGGCTAAGGACAAGACCAGTTTTAGGGGGAGATACTTTATTTGCAAACCCAGAAGATCTGTAGCAATTATGGGAAAGACTAGTGCATAATATAACTAAGGTTTCTCATTTCCTCTCAACCGCTCCATTAATAATGCAGAATTCCCCTCTCTAAAACTTAACCAAGTATTTCTCTCTTGTCAATTAGTTTCAGTGAGCACTGCATAAGGAATCAAGTTCAAAACCGTTCATTCTGATTTTTCAAACACATCCTCTGCTTTCCTCACAATTCCAAAGCCTTCCTTTATTCCACAGCAGAATTTGTGAACTTACCTAAAACCTAATTCCTACAATGTGTATGAATACTTCGAATCGCTTAAATAAGTGCATAAAATTAAGTAACTATTTCAAGTTTTAGTTCTCAATGAACATTTCCACATTTACAGAAGTAGATTAGTGTTACTTAAAAAATGCACAGCATTAAATCTTTGTTTTCTCTTTACCTCTGGAAGTGATGACTGTAGAGCTGCGTTGGAATTCCAAGGATACGGTCATAGATAGATGTAACTTCCCTTAGGTTTCCCTGTTCATTTTCCCAATTTATATACATTTCCCACAGTCTGTCAGAGCGGAAATCTGTTCCAGCAGCTAAGACTGCATGTTCGTAGGCGCTGAAAAACAAAGTAATTTTACAGTTGTTTCTGGATGCAGTGACAGAAGAAGGAAGCAAAGTTCTGGCTCTTATTTAAAATCATGAGCATCCTCTTTTACTTGCAACCACAGTTATGTTCATTATTTAAATTCTTCAAAGTACTTTCTAGACATCTGTAGCAAGATCTCTAGAAAGCTCACACTCACTGTTTTTGCCTCCAGCATTATTACCACAACAGAACAAATAAAGGCAACATGAAAAGCCGCTTACAGGAATGCAAGACATTAGGGAAATACATAACCTTTACCACTTTTGTCTTGTAAAGACTCGAAAGACCTTACTTGAGCAGTTTAACACACAAAAGTCATACATCAATCATGTAGCTAGAAGCTTCAGAGAAAGCTCAAATAAGGTTTGGGATCAAACTTTAGTCCAACATCTTACTCTAAACGAGGATCACTGTCAGCAACAGGTGAGGTCACACATTTTAGCCATACCTTGAAAACCTCCAAGAAATTGAAATCCAACAATTCTATGGGGAACCTGTTCCAGTTCCTCATCGAATGCTGCACAAAGCATTTCCTAACGTCTAGTCTGAAACTCTCAAGTTACAACTTCTGACCCTGTTACCACATTGTATTGTCCACCCCTTCTTAGGGAATTTGGCTCCATCATCTCCAAGAAGTCCTTATAGTAACCGCAGTAACTAGCTTTCCCCTCATCTTAATCTGATTACTCTGCCACATAATGTACATATGGGCTTCCTGTATCATTTAAGCTGCATTCAACTTACCCTCGAATCGTACTGTTTGTTTCAGGATCAGACGGGTCCAAGGTCTCCTTTAAGAAGTTTATATAATGTATCCAAAGATCAACACTAAGAGGAATTGCCTGAAGCCCTCTGCGATAAACCTATGAAGAGAACATGAACTGTACTTCAAATACGTAATGGTGTCCTAATAGAGAGGCAACACTGTGTTATCCGGTGAACCTTAGAAATACTAATTACTGGAATTTTGTTTAAATAATCTACCATTACCATTTGGGTGGAGGTTGGATAGAACATGGCAATGTTCTGATCTCCACGTGCAGAGTCTTGATCTTCAAAGCGCAGCGGTCCCTGCATTCTGACCAGGTTGTGTGGGCAGGCTTTGGGGTACAGACCATAGGGCACAGACCCATTAGAGCATCATTGACAGCGTCTGACCAAAAATGCAATAAGATGCAGCAATTGTGACCAGCAAACCAACTATATTGTTTTGAAAATGAATAATAAATGTAAGCGACAGAAAAGCCCTGCCCTACTTGTTAAGCTGCAGTGTAATACAGAGGCTTGCACTGCAAAGCTTGACAAACTGTAGAGGTTTAACGCACCTGCCAACAAAGAGAGAAAACATTAGCTACAAATGCCACAGATGTGACAAGTGCAAACAAAATCCCTACAAACCTGGCCACAGATGGCAGGTACTGGCAGCCAAATGACTTGCGGTAGGTTAGTCATTGTTTGGCTAACAGGACCAATGGCAATAGCTGCACCCAGCTACCTACATACCTCATCAGACTGCTTAACGTTGTCGTGTCGCTTCTCAAGGTCTGCATACTTTTTCCAATATCCATAGCAATATGGATAATGTGTGAAAAACCTGTCAAATGCTTTCCTGGCAGCTGGTAAGTGGTTCTGCAAGAAATACACAATAAAAGCAATAAATCCTTTCCTTGAAAAACCCTTCATGTTATTTTAAAAACAATCATTGCTTTAACATTTTCTTAAAACTGCCAGTTTTTATTCTGTGATCTCTGCTGACAATACTGGCAAGAGCAACTGTCTTCAAACAGTACCCGTGAAAGCCCGATGTACAGTTCTAGATTGGTCACTGGAATATCCATGACTTGCTTGGGTTTTCTTTGTTTATTTCTGGAAGGCTAAGGAGAATGGGTGGGTGTGTACTAACCTCCTGCTCTACGTACTGTAGTAGATATACCCATCCTGTGAAATCCTGGGGATTGTCCTCTACTACTTTCCAGAACTTGTCAAAATCTGGAGGGAAGCCAGCCTCAATATCTGTTGTCTGTAAACCTTCAATATTGGGAATTTCACTCTCCTGCATGTTCTCTTCATTCAAGTCAGGGGAACTATCAGGTGATTGTTCCATCTCAGTGACACTCATAATTTCTGTACTGAAGTCCATCTGCTGTTCTTCTGTCGTTGTTTCAGCACCATTGTCTGTGCTCTCATTGCTTACAGTCGGTTTCTCCTCCTCTGTATTTTCTGTGTTGTTCTCCATAGCTGACATGACTGCTGTTTTGCAGTACAAGATCCTGTAGAAACAAAAGGGTTCAATATTCCTGCAGCAAAGATTCAAGCAGAACTTGGGCATGCATTATCAGCTAAGAGTTTCCCAAGTGCTTCAGGCATCCATGTATTTCACCACAAACCCCCACCAATTAGATCTACTTCACACGAGCCTTATTCACAATTAAGATGTTAAATGCAATCCTGCATTTTAGCATCTGCACATACAAGTCATTGTGGGTTTTCTAAAAACCTGTCACAAATAGCAATGGAGGTAAAAAAGTGAACCAACCCAGCTTTCCTGTATGAGTTGAGCAGAAGTTTATTCCATATAAAGAATTATGTTCAAATTTATTCAATTATCCTACTTAATACAAATCACTAATTTCTTTGCAAAATAAATATATGTTTAACTTTCCCCACAAAGCCAAACTGAACTGGATTATGCGGTAACTTTGTAAAGAAAAAATTCCTGTCCTCACTCGGCCCGTATGAGCGATGCCTACATAAATTAACCAGCAGAGGGCCACACACAGTGTTTAGGCTGGTACCTGACGTGTAGTCACGCACCCCACCCCGCAACACTCGCTCATACGGTGCTTCCTCCTGCCCCTCAGGACAGACTCCATCTTCCTCCCACTCTTCTTTGATCTTCCTGCCAAACACTGCTGCCCAGCCCTCCCCTCCTCCGCAAACACCAGTCCAGCCTCACTGCATGAAGCCTGCTGATCCCAGTCTCCGCTGCATGAAGCCTGGCCAAAAGGCACTCTGCCGGACTTTCTCCATGTTCAAGCCAGACCATAATGACCCGCAGGCTAAAGGTAATGCAGCACTCATGTCGAATACAATAGCTCTGAGCTGTGAATCTATTTTGGATTAAGAACAGCATGAGACTATCATCCTCAAACGCACTGTAGCAACTGCCACTCCTATTTCCCTGCAGTTCTCAGAGCAGAAGCAGGTTGAGTTTGACATTTAAAAAAGAGGTCCCCACCCTCTATCTCCACAAACCTTTCTCACTGAAAGCCTGAAAAGAGAACAGAATATTTGCTTTCGCTTTAACAAGTACGACGATAAGTCATCAACAACGTAACAGGAGCAAAATTCTTGACAGGAAGGAAAAATCTCTCTACCCTATCTGTGGCAGCTTCAGTGCATGAGATAAGAGTTCATGCTTCCCTAGTTCACCAAGCTGAGTTACTTCAGTGTAGTGTTAAAAAGTCCACATGTTCCACTCTGGAAGTTTTCTAGTAACTGGTTTTTAAAAGTAACTATTTCTGTTCTCCGTGGTATATATCATCTGGCAATCCTAAACACATTATTTCTTTCCTTTAAGGTAAACAGTTCACATGTTTTCAACTTTATATGTAACTGCAGATCATTGCAACTGCATCACTGAAAACAGCTGCTACCATTCAGAGCTCACATCTGTAAAGATGATAAAATCAGGGTGTCAGAGGCATGTGCTATACAAACAGCAGCCCCGGCTCTTGAAAAAACATAGTTTAAAGGATGTTTACAGCTCTAAGTTTTTGATGGGAAAAAAATGTTTTTAAATATGCAATAATGCACAACCTAAAATTATTCTGATATTTGACAGATGTTTTCCCCCTCTAGCCGACTGTAGATGTACTCCAGCTTAAAAACCAACTCCCCCCAAATCCACACTGTTTTCACATTAGGGAGAGAGTAAAAAAAAAAGGAGTGAGGATGGTACTGGATTACCTCTGCACATGAGGTTTCAAATAGAATCTGAAAGTATTCTTGGCAGCTCGCTTCCAACTGAAGGTGCTCTAAAGCCACACCTGGAAACTAAGACATGCCCCAAACTCACTGAGAGTTACAGCTGCCATGAGTGACTCTGCCTGGAACCAGAATGCTGCTGCTCCAGGGAGCTTCAAAGGCAGCGGGCATGAGGCCAACACACGTCAAACACAGACAACCATGGAACAGAGTAACTCAGTTCCAGGAGTTTTTACATCACTGAGGCTAAATAACTAAATATCAGATAACTAGATGCAGTAGTTTTAAATAATTTATGCCAACGTATATTATTTAGCCTGTTTCAATCAAACGTTCATTCTGTGCAATACTGGCATTTATACATACGAATGAATAGAAAAACATCCAGGAAAGTCCACAAACGGGCAACCACACGGAGTTTCCGGCCTCAGCTTTCCCCTCCACCCAGACCACTGTCACAGTCCTGATAAGGAGCCGCCTGGAACCTGCGGGCGCTGGGCTGGGCTACGCGGGCACTGCTGGCCTGGCCCCTTCTGCCCAATCGGCAACGCTTTGATGGCCAAAATCATAGTCACAGGATCACAGAATGGTTTGGGTTGGAAGAGATCATAAAGCTCATCCAGTTCCAACCCCCTTCCAACCCCCTGCCATGGGCAGAGACACCTTCCACTAGAGCAGGTTATTCCAAGCCCCTGTGTCCAATCTGGCCTTGAACCCTGCCAGGGATGGGGCAGTCACAGCTTCTCTGGGCACCCTGTGCCAGCGCCTCAGCACCCTCACAGGGTAAAATACAGGAGACAAAACCCAAGAAGTAAAAAATAAAGAAATACAGTGACAACGTAGAAAACCGTGAAGCGCTTAAAGGCTTTGAGCTGGCCTAATGTTTGTCCAGAGATCTCGCGGCTGTTAGAGCATGTAAAGATTACATAGGTTTCCTTAATCGCAACATTCGTCCCGTTAAACGCCAGCTTAGGCTGGTTTACCCGAGTGCCCGGTAG